AACGTTTTGGAAAAAAAGCATTTAATGGCAACAGGTGTGATTTTTTTTTTGGTTTTCTCAGTAGCTGATGTGCAACATAGTGCAGCTTCAGGGCTCTGAGGGGTTTTAATAAGCAGTTAAACACCACCAGTGTCTAAATATGGAAGGAAATTATTTTTCTGCATCCGATGTTGCACTGGAAGAAGTGTGCAGCGTTGAAAAATGGCCTTTTAAAGGCAACAAGTGCAGTTATTTTCTTTTCTGATGTGCAATATAATGATGCATTTGGGTTTCTAAAGGGGGATTTTAAAATGCAAACATTCGCAGTCTCTACATGTGGGAGAAACTGCTGGTTTGTCATCGTTCTTGCATCAGATTTTGCACTGGAGTAGATGTGCAGCATTTTAAAAATGCATTTTAAGTGCAAAAAATGTGTTTTCTGACAGGCTGATATTGCAAATTCAAGCCTCTAAGGGGGATTTTAAAATGCAAACACCAGCAGTCCCTCTATAAAAGGGACATTTCTGGGGGTTTTGGTGTTAAATAAGTGTGCAACATGAAGAAAAATGCATTTTTTTAGAGGCTGATCTGCAACATAATGATGCATTTTGGCCTCTGATGGGATTTTAAAATGCAATCAGAAGTCACCAGTTGAATTTAAGGTGGACTGCATGTAGATCTGGCCTCTAAATAAAGTGTTGAAATTCAGTGTTTTTTTTTTTTTTCTTGCAAATACTAATCAGCTCCAGTGTGTGCGCCTGTGCTGCCTAATGAAGCATCCTCTCACTCATCCATCCGTCCATCCTCTGCAGGCTGACACCGTGGCCTTACCTCCTCCAGCACGTTCACGGTGTTCCTGCAGCTCTGCAGTCGGGTGGTGAAGCTGGATGTTGTCGGGGAATTGTAATCCTCTGTCGTCTCCGAGAGAAACTCGGACACCGATATTTGATCCGGCATCCTTTAACGAGGGGGGAAAAAAATGCCCACGGGAGGGTCGGCGATGAATGTTCAGAAAGACAAAACCATGTACGATTCAAAAACAAGAGAGAGAAAGCAGCGGGAGTCTGGTGGAGGCAGATTTTTTTCTCTCGCAGAAAAACTGTGCAAAAAACTATCGAGATGATTAAGACGCTTCTTCTTCTTCTTCTCCGGTGACTTCTCAAATGACTTCACTGCTCCCCGGGGGCCACGGAGGAGGGAATTAGCTGAATTTCGTACAGGCTGTGTCCCCTCGCTGTGTCTTTTCCTTCAGAGGATGTCTAAAAGCGACACATTTATAAATAGTGTCACTCTGCGTCTGACTAAACCTCGGAGGAAAAACCACCGTAAAGAATAGCGGATGCCCTCATTATGCTCTACAGATGTGCAATAAGCCGCTTGTCGTCAAAACAGCCCGCCGTTAACAGCCTCTGGTCGGGATTTATCATAGTCCGCGGTGTGCCGAGGTCGTGTGGAAGCGCAGCGGGCTTCGGTGCTCCGTTCTTCAGCCGTAGTTTGTGGTTTTTAACGCCAAACGCTGCCGCAGACACACATTCACTGCCGCTCGCTGCTGCTCGGCCGCTCGGAGCTGCTCGGAGGCGGAGTCAAGCTGACGGCGGGAGAAGACGTGGCTTCCGGTCAGCGACTTCAATATAAAAGTACACTGTCAACGTAACACAAATGTAGTTTTGATGAATTTGATTAATTGTGTCAGAAAGCAGAGGTCTTTCCAACCAATGTATAATTCTCCTTCATTTTTGTGTTATTCAAGCCATTTTGTAGAGCTAGCGTACTAATTTTTCAGCCTTAACACTAAAGTTAGTCAGATACGTTTGTGTTTTATACAGCATTGTAAATTCTTAATCTTTATATTTAATTCTATTTTATTTTAGAGTCCTAATCTAATATTTTAATTACTTTGGTACATTTAAAATTAGTATAGTATTGTAAGTTCTTAACCATAATATTCAAATCAATGAGGTAGACTTTATGTAATAAATAATATTGTGCTATCTTAACTTTAATAATTATATTAGTCAAATAAAAAAATATATTTGAAATTCCATTGTATACTGTTAACTGTAATGTTTAAATCAGGCATGCAAATTTACATAATAATTAAAATGATTATACTGTAGGGTCCTTCTGCAATACTTAACTTAGCCAGGTAAATTTGCATCTTATATAACATTTTAGAGTCTTAGCCTTAGTCTTTAAATTGGTGGGTGTAAATTTGTGTTTTATACAATATTGTAGGGTCTAAAAATCAGTATTCAAAATTACTAAGTCAAATTTGCATTATAATATTGTAGGGTGTTAATCTTATTATGTGACTACAGTGCTAGGTCTTAGCCTTAATATTTAAATGACTGAGATACATGTACATAGTAAAACATTTTGGAGGGTTTTAGCCATAAAATTTAAACTATTCAGGTAAATTTACATCATAAATAATATTGTAGGGTCTTCAATTTTATATTATTTTGATTTGATCATTTTGTATCTTCTACATTATTGCAGGCTCTTAATCTTAATATGTAAATAATGAATGATCTTAACATAGTAATATCTAATATTTAATGTAGCCAAGTAAATTTGTATTTATTTAATATTGTGTGGTCTTAACTATAATGTAAAAAATAGTTAGATACGTTTACACAATGAATAACATTGTATGGTCTTAACCTTAGCAGTTAATTAGTGTGATAAATTTGCACAATAATATTGTACGTCTTTATTCACACATTGACGTCACCACAGTTTCTTTCTTTTTCAATTTTATATTTTATGTTGCACCTTTTTAACAACAGTAAAACCATACAAAACCTGCATCCTAGACCTTGAAAGGCCACTTTTATCACTAAGAATAGTAACCTGTGTAAATAAAATATAACTTGGATACCTCTATTATATATAAAAGGGGTATTTGTCCTGGTCTGATTTTACTTTGAACATAAAACCGTCCAATTTCCGGTGTGCTGTTTGTCCTGACGGCAGCTTCACGGATCTCTCTCCCACCCACCTCGCCTGGTTGACGGAGAAGAGGAGCCGCTGTGCGCATGCGTGGTGTGGTACTCTGTGACTGCAGAGAGTAGCCGTTGGACTGAATGTCGGCCTGCATCAGAGAAAAACAGCAGTAATGTGTCATTTCTTTACCCCGAGCGGCGGTTTGTGGGATGTTTACGGTTTTCTTTACATTATTTCAATACTGCAAACCCGTCTGACTGCTGTCAATTAAGCCTAACTTCCTTTAAAAGATATAAAATTCAACATACTCTCTTTTAGCTTACATTACATCCAGTGTTAACCATCGATCCACAGTGTTTCTATATTTTATGTTCTTATATGATGCCAGTGAATTGTTTAGGCGATGACACCTTGTTTATGTTGGTCTAAAGTCAATAACAGGTCAACACATTTGTTGTAACATCAGTTTTTCTAAGCTAACAGCTGCTTTTAGTGACTTTGCACTGCTGATTTCACACCTTATCTGGAGGTTCACTTAATTAACTGTCACTTGGAGGGAAATGTGAGTTTAAAATAGTTTTTTTGTGGAGCTGAATGAATTTGAATACATTAACGTCACTTTACAAAGGATGTCAGTGCCCACAGATTGAATTTTGGGTCTTAAAAAATGACAGTTTCTTATATTTCTGCCTTGGAGTGGGTGTGTAGTTGAGCTAATAGGCACTTTAATGAAATTCACTTCATTTTAAATGTGATTCTCCTCAATAGAATCAAGTTTACTCCACAATATATCCTAATATGTATATTTGTAATACAGAATCTGGTTTCAGATTTGCCACAAGTAACATAATCTAGTTCCTTTTTTAGACTAACTTCCCATCAGTCCGTCATTTTATCCACATTATTTATAACCTTATTCTCAAACCTCATGAGAATAGGAGCGCGCAGGACTTCAATATTTACACTGATCACCCTCAAGTTTATTATATGCATGTGTTAATTCATATTAAACCAGCAGCAGTCAAAGTACAGCCTGGTACTGCCCCGGTTTTATTCACTCATCTCCACTTTCACTTCCTTTTCAAAACTGCATAAGTGCAGCCTGGAACCACCACAACGTGCCACAAAGGGATGTTTGGTAAATAAGCAGAAATACAGACTGTAAATGTTGCCTTAGTATTGTTTTCTTCCACTGAAGTGTCCATCAGGAAAGGCCTCTTTATTCTCACTTGTTCAAACTCAACCATGAAGCGCCACCTTGTGGACATGCTTTGGTGTTTTTCTGTCAAAAGGGGGTTTTTGTTTTGTTTTGTTTTGTTTTTACACAGGAATCACTGAGCGGGTTCTCAGAGGAACCCTGCAAATGATAAATATGTATATTTATTGAAATGCACGTCTTTTTTAAACTAGTTTTATGATACATATAATAAATTATAGCAAATCAATGAAGAACAGGAGGCAAATCCTGGTATATAATCAGATAAATATGTAAATATTTTTTTGGGGGGGGAAGGGGTTCCAATTAAATACCACAGACATGCAATTAATTATTATTTGCATTGTCGATTAATCTACCATTTACTTTCTGGATGAATCTATTTTTGTTTGGTCTATAAAATACGAGAAAATGGTGAAAAACGTTGATTTGTGTTTCTGACGAATGTCTTGTTTGTCCACAACCCAAAGATGTTCAGTTTACCATCATATAGGAGGAAAGAAACCAGAAAATATTCATACTTAAAGAAGGTGGAATCTGATCATTTCAGAAAAAAAAAATCAAACTGATAATTGATTTTCAAAATAGTTGGTGATTATAATCGCTGACAGCTAGTTAGATAATTGATTTGTCATTGTAGCTCTACATAAATATGATGTAAAATGAGTAGAACATTTTTATTTAAATGTGCCACCTTAAAATGTCACCTAAAGAAAAAATTCTGGTCGTTTTAACTTCATCATGTGCATCTGTATTTGATTTTTGATATTGGAGAGGAAAAATATCTGCGGACCTGTGAGCTTTATTTTCTAAGCGCTGACCGGATGTTCCGGTTTCTTCACAAGTTCTAATTTGACTTCCTCAGTGTTAGCCTTCAGCTAGCTCGCGATTTTGAGGTAAGGGGAAGGCAGGAGGAGATTGTCGTCGCTTGTAAGGGATTTCACATCAGTTTTACCGACCAGATCACAGGTGGGAAAGTGAATATTGTCGCTGTCTGCCCGGATACGCTTGTCATCTCTCCAAAAAACAGCCTGTTGTCGTCAAACTTGTGCCGCGAGAGAAGCAGCAGCCGGAGTTGAGACTGAATGGCTGAGGGCTCCTCAGGTAACTAAATGCGTTGTAGAAATAAATTCCCCAAACAGTGAGCCAGAGGCAGCTCATGTCGCCAAAACAAGCTTTAAATATTAAAATTAAATCAACACTGAACCAGTCGCTTCAGCATCCTATTAACTCTGTAGCGTCACATTCTGTGAGGCTAGTTGTGTTAGCCGGCTAATATTGGCTAACATTAACTTTTAGCTGTTTATCATGAATGATACACATTAGCTTGCTAACGTTAGCCTAGCGTCGCAGTTTTATCAGGCTATTCGTAGATGACGTGACATTTCGTGATATGTGAACTTTGAAGTCCAGCAGTGCACCTCACGTGGGTGACAGCAGCTCGTTCACATGGATCTACTTAGCTTTGCAGCTAGTAATAGTAGTAGTTTGACAGGTTTTTACATTTGAAATGTGTGTTTTATTGTCGACCTGCATAAAATGAATAGTTAAATGCACTGATTTCAATTTCTGAATCAAATTAGTATTAGTGTTTCCCAGCACCGTGTCACACACACAGGTTATTTAAGGTGACAGGCAAAGGTTAAGAAGGGGGAAAGGAAAAAAAGATAACGTACAAAACACGGTAGAATATAAAAACCAAAACAGTACAGGCAATTGAGTAAAGTTCATGCACATTTTAATGAATAATAATAATAATTTTTAAAAAGACAAATGATAAGACAAACAGAAACATGCAAAATATAAAGTGTACAACAAAACGTTAATAAAATTAGTTGGATCAGACTTTATGAAATATGACATATCAATTAAGAGAAAGTTGAAGTCTTTAGCTTACATTAAAAATGGCTTTCCTCAGGCAATTTTTGATGAGTTTTTTTTTTTTTATATCTGACATGACAAAGACACAGTTATTAACAGGTGAATCTGGAATGAGCATTACTGTTAAAAGCAGGAGTTGACTGATACGGTTTATCCAAAGCCAATACAACACAGACTAATAGTAATCAAGGAGTTCCCTAATCTATATCTGGAATTGATAGATATGTGTCAAAATTTGCAATTACACTAATTTATGTTTTACGTGTTTAGTAAATATTTGCCTTTCAGTGTTGATTGGTTGTTAGTAACAGTGGTGACACATAACCAGTTTGGGTAGTACGTTGCTCAAGACCACAGGGTGACTATAGAGCTAGAGAGACAACTGCATAAATCCAAAGTAGGGCTTTTTGAATGCAGGTATTTTATCAAGAATCAGTTGAAAATAAAACCAGCTACAACAGTCGACCAGTCTCTGAAGTGGGCAGCCTCTAGTTAAAAGGGTTTTTGAGCCGGATCATAATAACACCTAAAATCATTTCAGAATCATAGTAATTGATTTTTGAAGTGCTGTATATTTACTGCAACTGCATTTGATTGTTCTGATTGTAAACACATGAGGACTTGTAACATCGTCATTCTTTCTGCTTCCAGACCCGCCTGACCTCGATCCAGATGGGGCGTCGCATCAAAAGTCACATCAGCACAGATCTAGAAGAGGTCGACCCCGATACAACAATGACAGAAACCTGAGCAGTGATGGTTACGATCCGTCTCAACAACATGGACACTTTCATCAGGGCTTTAAACCCCAGTTTAACCACAATAACTCGAATTATGCAGAGCAGTACTATCCTCCTTACCAAGGACAGGATGCAGCCAGAGGGCGAGGCAGAGGTAGAGGAAGGAGAGAAGGGAATAGAGGATTAAATGGGAGTTTTGGTGGTCCAGAGCCCCAGTGGCAAAGACGATCCGGTGGCGGCAGGAAGTCTATGAGTGGCTTTCAGCAAAGTGCTCATTCCTCAGATGGACCTGATGGACCCAACTGGCGGAGAGAAACTGTGCCACCAACCTGTGAAGACCAGGACGCTCAAGCTAAAAAACCCAGAAATTTTGGCCAGGAGCAGAGGAGGAGAGAGCAGAATGAGAAAAGTGCTCATTTTAAGGAGAACAACTCGACAGTAGAGGGTCAGAGATCAAATGAAACTAAAGGAGAAAACCTCCCTGCAGACACCAGGGACAGGATTCAGCACAGCAGGACGGACTCTCAACACGACGATCATCAGAGGAAACGCACTGAAGTAAAGCGACGCCAAGGACCGATCAAACCGCCCAAAGCACCGGCTCAAGAGGAAGCGAGCTCAGAGAGGGGAGCCAGCGGCCAGGACGACTCTGATCACGGCAGGTCGTCTCAGGATTCGGCCTTTAAAGCTGCGAGAGGCTCCGGACGACACACACCAGTGCAGGGCAGAGGAGGGAGAAGAGGGAACCATCAAAACCACAAACCTGTTCAGAGGAGCTGGGACAGGATGCCCAAGAGCAAAGAGACGCAGACAGGTTAGACTGTAACTTCTGTAGAATTGGATTGTGGGTATTTGTGTGTATCTCTGCTATCTTCTGAACCCCTGATGTCTTCCCTCCTCAGGTTGTCTGATTGAGCAGTTGTCCGAGGAGAAGTACGAGTGCATGGTGTGCTGTGACATCATCCGGCTCATGGCGCCGGTGTGGAGCTGCCAGAGCTGCTTCCACGTCTTCCACCTGAACTGCATCAAGAAGTGGGCTCGGTCTCCGGCCTCGCAGGCCGACGGTACGACCTTTAAACATCATTTGTACATTCACTGCTTGCTCCCTGTTTACGGCTTAGTATGGCCTTCTGTTGGTCTGCAACACAATGGGTTCTCACAGCATACCAAACTGTACACAATACCTGGTATGTGTGCTCTATAGAGAAGATAGCTGTGGTTCTGCTAACAATAGCTCATGCATTTTGCCTTTTGAAACTACAGCGGCCCAGTGAGTTTTCTATTATTCATTACAAGCTGCATTATGTATGTATTAGGTCATAAATGGTTGCAATTATTTTTCAGATTCAGCTGAAGGTTGGCGTTGTCCAGCCTGCCAGAATGTTGCAATGAAGCAGCCGACCTCCTACACCTGCTTCTGTGGTGAGTATTTATCTCATTTATGTATAAATGCAGCTTTGCATACACAATACAACTTAAAAACAGTAAATAAATCTGTTTATTGGCTCAGATAATAAATCTACTTGTTGTCATGTCCCAGCATCTCCTTTCACTCCATTAGCCAAGTTTCACTTACATACTTTTAAAGTTTTGGATTATAATAAGTTCCCTAAAACGTTCATACACTTGCTTGTGATGGTTTTTCAATTTTCGGAAAGAGCTAATGTGTATAACGGGCGATAGAAACAACTCTTCATAATAAATTCTCTCTTCCGAGCCTTTAAGTCACATTGCTGATCTGTTGTTTCATCTGTTTTCACTCTCTTTGTCTCCGCACAGCATGAAATGTGACCAAAACCTAATATTGTGAAACACTATTTACAACTTTGCTGTTAAACCAAAAAATCCTGAAGACTTCTTTTGAATTTTTTCTCATAGATGGTCAAAGTTTAGTTCCTTCTTCTCTGGTTATTTAGCAGGTGGCAAATGACTGATTTTGTTTTTAGCTACTTCTTCTGTGTTTTTACATCCATGAGTATTGTAGCCTGTGTTTTTCAGTCCAAAGTTCCAAAAGTAATGAAAATGCGTTTTCTTTTCTTTTTTTATTTAGTGCAATATTTCAAAAGTTTGCATGAAGTTTGCTTAACAATTATATGGAATCATGGCACACAACTTACCATCTGTCACAGAAGCAGAAGAAACAAGACTGTAGTTAATTTTTATTCCGTATGTAATGAACAGGTAAAGTGACAAACCCTGAGTGGCAGCGCAGTGAGATTCCCCACAGCTGTGGTGACATGTGTGGGAAGAAGAGGAGCGGAGTGGACTGCAATCATCCCTGTAACATGTGAGCCTTAAAAACACAAACTGGTGGAAGTTAGAAATGAAGGTACATAAAGGCAGCATGTCGAGGTTGGATCTAACACTGTGAGAGACTTAAAAGTCAACTAACAGTTGGTGAATGATCTGTAAAAATATTCTTAGGACTTTTGATTAATAACTGACTTTCAGAATGTGTAACTTTTTAGAAACAGTCACACTTTGTTGGTAGCTCAGTTACTGTCACACTTGTGAAGTGGCTGTTTTTATTTGGTTTAATAGTTGAGAGATGGTTAAAAATAAGTTTCAGATCTTCCTGTTTGTTAACTATGAAAGGAACAACTCTACAACAACTTGAAATATGATTTTAAAGCTTACGATTTTGTGAAAATGTTGCTTGTGTTATAAAATGAGTGTAAAAATGAAATAATACTGGATATTTTCAGTAAAACTTTAAATGTCGCCAACCCAAAACTCTGTCCAACAGGAGAGGAGATGTTAAACAATACCTTCTGTGTTTCTCCTCAGCTTATGTCACCCCGGACCTTGTCCTCAGTGTCCCGCCTTTGTGACGAAATCATGCATCTGTGGTAAGACAAGGTACTAGACCTTGGATTGTTTCACTTCATTTCATTTATTCATGTATTCGACTGAGACGGTGCTGATCAACAGAAAAAATTACTGTAAATGAGCCACAGTTCAAACCCCTAATTTTCATCTGTTGTCCCTGGTTAGTTCTACAAAAGGCAGCCTAGAATCTGAATACAAATAACTAAACACACGCAGAATACTGACTGACTGAGGGCCTTATCTGCATCTGTCTTTTAACTGCTATGCAATCCACATTGTTTATGAACTCTCTGAACCCTAAGCAATTTTTTTCATGTCACAGTTTTACTCACAATGAGCTCATTTTTCACTATAAATACAAAAACATGCACCTCTGTAGAAACGACACAACCATGGTACAAGCCGAGATAAATTAAAAAATGTCTTCTGTGCTGTGTACCAGTTAAAATCCCATAAATCATTAAAAGCAGAAAAGTAGATTTTTGAGTTTGACCTGAATGTACAACATTTTTCTAAATGCCCACAGGTACAGTACTAAAAAAAAGTAGTGATTGTTCATGTTGTAGATATTTTACTACTTTCTTTTAAATTTGTTTCACTTCTTGTTTTCTGTCTGTCACGTATAAGCACAGCCTGCGGTTTAGCTCAGGTCAGCCAAAAAGTCCATGAATTCTAATCATGTGATTGCTGGTCACAGCTGAGTCACTGATGGTTTCATGGTTGCTGTGAGGAGCACTGATGTTTTTAGTTTCTCACAGAATCTAGCTAGTGAGGGTGGGGTTTTTTGGCATTTTTTTTAATGAGACTTAGAAATTTGATTTTTTTTAGGCGTAGATTTGGTGAGGTTTTCTGATGCAATGGCATGCCACAGATGAATAGTTGAAGGACTGTTGGAAAGTTGAAAAACTGACAGATCTTTCTGTTTTTACAGTTTGTAGCTGTGATAAATTGTGTGCTTCTGCAGATTTGCAAAATGTAGCATAAAACCCATCGGTGGGTTTCAGATGGTTAAATATCTCCTTGTTGTTTTCGGGTTATGGCACCTTAATATCAATTAAATCATCTCATTCCAGTCAACCGATGCGCTGCGGTCAGGCTGCGATGCTCCAGTGTGACAAAGTGTGCGGTGCTGTGCTCAACTGTGCTGAACACACCTGTGTGCAGGTGTGCCACAGTGGGACATGTCAGCCCTGCCAGCTGCAGGTTCAGCAGGGTGAGTTTCACTTTGGCAAGACCACTCTGTATAAATACTATGAGGGATGATGAGCAAATAAGTGAAATGCAGGATCTGAAACATTCAAATGTAATGAAATTGTGTATTTATGTGCAGATTGCTACTGTGGGGTGACCACTCGTTCAGTCCTCTGTGGCACTGATAAAGCAGGATTCGATGGTTCGGGACATTTCTCCTGTCAAAAAATATGTGGGAAGTAAGTCTGACTCAGCGCTAATGATGTCTGCATTTTAGTCAAATAGGACAATCCCCCATCATAACTTAACTTCTCTCTGTTCAGGATGTTGAATTGTGAGGCTCACAGGTGCCAGCAGGTGTGCCACCGTGGGCCCTGCCAGCCGTGTCCACGCTCCCCGAGCCTGGTGAAGACGTGTCCCTGCAGTCAGACGCCGCTGAGCAAACTGCTGGAGCTGGGCTACTCTGAACGACAGAGCTGCTCCGACCCCATCCCCTCCTGTGGGAAGACGTGCAGCAAACCCCTGGCCTGTGGCTCCAGTGGTAAGAATGAACAGAGTTTGTAGATTTGTGTTGTTCATAAGATGGTTACTGTGTCTTGTGGAAACACTAAGTCTCTGATACTGAATCCTGAATGCCTGCCAATAAATATAAACTGATTCTAGCCTGAAGAGCTCAGCATGTGACAGGTCTAAAAGCTTTTTAAGAATATATAATGTGAAAAATATCTGATGGAAAGCGTGTGCTCTAACAGGTAAAACTGAGGGCAACAAGTTCTTCTATTCAAAACTGTCTTTTTTGGTTTCTGTTTAAAGCCATGACGCATTAATGCGGTGAATCTGACGGCTTCTTTGCTCGCAGAAATTCACAGAGCATTTAAAATCTTGAGAGAGCTCAAAATGAAACCAGCAAAATGTCATGTTGTCAGGTTTCATTTGTCCAAATTTAAAGACTTTATGCTTTTCCATCTTGTCTCGTTAAGCCCTAGGGTTTTTAGCTTGCATGTTTCTCAGTACTGCATTTTTTTTTTTTTGCATCGTGATGGAAAAAAATGTATCTCTGATGTTTGACACTGCCTCAGAGTGTCTTAATTTGTACGAAAATGTAATCCAGTGCACGTACCGGTGTATTTTTGTGTTGTTTTTCATCCGGCGTCTTTATTTTTAAAAGAAAGAAGCTGCTGTTAACGTCGTCTCTGTGGTCTATTGTGAGTGCAAACAGGATGTGCGTTATCTTGAGCCTCCTCACAGTCTGGCACGAGATAATGAACTTGTGCTATTTCAGACACCATCCATCTGTGTGAGAACTTGTGCCACGAGGGCAGCTGTGGACCCTGCTCTCTGACCTCCACTGTCAGGTGCAGATGTGGCTCCAAGACTAAGGTGAGAGGATGAACCAGCAGAATTTATTTTGTCACATCAGTGCCGCAAACACAGAAGATTTGAAAGATGTCTTTATTGTTTTTAGGAGGTTCCATGTGCCAAAATCCAAAAAGAAGGTGAGATTTCAACACATTCACATGAACTGAGCCATGAACACAGTTTCCCTGACCGGTCGTTTTATTTCACCTGTGACTCTTTCTGCTCCAGATGAACTCGTCTTCACTTGTGAGAAGCGCTGCAGCAAGAAGCGCTCCTGTGGCCGACACAAGTGTGGCGAGCTTTGCTGTGTGGTGAGTATTCACCGAATAACGCACAAAAACAAGCATGTAGTGCTAAATAATTTGACGATGGAGGCTCAGCTCAGATCCCTGCGGTGTTTTAATGGTGACAGCTTCGTGACTTGCTGAGCTGAATATCTGGAGTCTTTGTACTACTTAAGATGTGGCTGTCAAGCAGTGTCACGGAACGGCGTCTGTGTTTTATTTCCACAGGAGGCACTTAATATAACTGGGTTTTGTCACTTTTAGCTGTGCTCTGAAAGTCCCAGTGTATATTTGTAGGTTTTATAGAAAGCTTTCTGGAGTTTCTCCTTCAGAGCAGGAGGGAACCGCAACTTTTTTCTCAGTTCCTCCTTTTAAGAAATGGCTCTCTTAAAATTTTCCCCAGTCAGGCTCTGAGGGACCTCATCGTGATCGTCTGAAATCCTGAAGCACACATTCCAAACACTTTAACATTATGTAATAATATAATCATTTTTATTTTATCTGTAGTGAGAGCCACATAAATAGTAAATATGATTTAAATTGTCCTGGAGGAAGGACGATGTGGATTTTCTGAAATGTTCTTTTTGACCAGGAAGAATTAAATTGTGGTTGTTACACACAGGGAGGGATGCAACAAGAAAGAATCTAAAAATTCCTCTGCAGAGTAGATTCAGCCGGAAAAAAGCTGCAAGCCGTACATCTCTTTCGTTTGCTGCTCTTAGATTTATTCCTCTCCGCCCAAATCGTCTGAAATCTGTTGATTAACAGTACGCTCACAGACTTCCCCACAATTCCCCACCAGGGCTGTTGGCTTGTCCATCTTACTGTCGAGCAATCTCACATTATCCGTGATGATGGAAGGCAGATACAGCTTATATCTCTTCTGTATCTCTTGAAATGTCCTTATTGCTATTCTGGCCGCCGTTCAACAACAGTGCAGCTGAATAACAAAACAACAGAATCACCTAACCAGCATGTCTGGAGATGGCACAGCTCAAAATAGTTACCGGCAAGAATCAAAACAAAGTGTAGCAGAAGAAAAAATTAAAGGTCCCTCTCTAACTTTAAACTCTGAAGTCTGTGAAGTTCCAGCCTCTTTCTCAAACCACCTCTCCACCGCTAGCTGCAGCTTGAGCACACCAGCTCACCTATGACACTGCACTGTACAACTATGCTATGCTACACAATGGCAAGTTGTAATGTTGGAGTAATTCAGACCAGCTCTGAAGAACATTGATGCAGAAAGCCCCACCCTGCAAGTTAACAGAATCGGTCTCTTAGGTTTGTTACTTATGAAACTTTGGAAGTCTAAATCTGAGACCGTCATTATGGAAACTGCAGTTTGAAGATGGAAATGGTCAGCCGTTGCGCTGACAGCTGATCAAGCACCATATAGACATGTTCATAAGACAACATGGTTTTTCACTGGAGGTGGTATTTGAAGGAAAAATTAGAACATTTGAAAAACAAGCAGGAACAAATATATCTGCTGCATGCACAGTTGGTACATGAGCTCACCATGATGAACGCCAAAAAATAGTGCTGTGGTGGTAAAACGGGAACTGTTATCGCTTTAAAAAAAAAAAAAAAAAAAAAAAAACTTTTATTCTCACTTTAGCCTGGTTTCCTAGACAGTCAAGAAACCCACTTTATGATTTGAGTATCTATGTTTTGTTCTTGCTACTATTCAGTAACCGATTGCTGTCATCTCCTAAAAATAATCAGAAGTTTTTGTTTAAAGTTAACCCACATTGCACCATCTGGAGATGACACAAATTTTAAATACAAGTGTCGAAAGTTTATATTTGGTTCAGTGTTTATTTATTAGGGAAGCATTCGACCATATAAGGTGATGCTGTTTTTGTTGTTTTTGTCCATGTCCATCCAGAATGTGGAGCACAAGTGCCACTTGATTTGTGGCTACAAGCTCAACTGTGGCCTCCACCGCTGCCAGGAGCCTTGTCACCGTGGAAACTGTGAACCCTGCTGGCAGTCCAGTGAGTCCCGCAGTCATTTTCTCTTATCCAACATTGTTGAATTTATGTCCCAAGTCTCTGAAGTACCGCATCGTTATTCTGTCCTTGAAAAAGATCTAGTTAGTGGTTTTTACATCATTTTTTTCTACTTTTTTTTCCCCCCTCTTTGTGGTATTGCGTTTGGCGCCGAGTTGCCACACAGCTTGCGTCCAATGTGTCATGTTTGTTCTGTTTGTAGGTTTTGATGAGCTGACGTGTCACTGTGGGCTCTCTGTGCTGTACCCGCCCATCCCCTGTGGCACGAAGCCACCAGAGTGTAAAAACCTGTGTACAAGACGACATGAGTGTGAACACCCAGGTAAGATATGAAAATAATGATGATAATAATAAGTACTGCAGCTGTACACAGTCAGTGTGATTGTTCTCCTAACATTTGCCTCTGATTTAGTGTTTCACAACTGCCACAGTGAGGAGAAGTGCCCACCGTGCACGTACCTCACTCAGAAATGGTGCATGGGAAAGCACGAGGTAACGTCCCCCGAGTCCATAAATTAGCATTTTTTTTCCAGTTTTTTATTCCTGCAATGAACGCAACGCTCTTTTCTTTGACTCACAGCAACGCAGCAACATCCCATGTCATCTGCAAGACATTTCTTGTGGTCTGACATGTAATAAAATGCTGCCCTGCGAAACGCACCGCTGCAGACGGATCTGCCACCGGGGAGAGTGCCTGGCAGAAGGCGGCTGCCAGCAGCCATGCACGCTGCCTCGTCCAGACTGTGGCCACCCGTGCTCCGCTCCCTGTCATAAAGGCAGCAGCTGCCCACGCACCACCTGCACTGCCAAGGTACAACACTGAGAACAGCTGGACTTCCACTGGCTGAAAAACGGGTTACAAAGTTTGTGCAGATGGTCTTTGTTACACTGAAGATTGGATTCACGGAGAGTTGAGGCATATTTTCCCACCATCAAACGTTTCTCCTCACTGTAATAACTTATTTCCAAGATGAAAAATGTTTTCACTGAATAAAACCAGTTCTATGAATGTGGCACATCTCTGTACAGGAGTCCAGCTGTGTGTGTTCCCCGCGTTCGCTTTGGCTGCATGAAGGCAGCTGATGACATCTGCTGTAACACAGTGTAACTGTCATAAATGGTTAACTTAGATGAAATAATAACATGTCAATGGCAGCCCTCCAAACTCAAGAGCTCAACAAACAATGAGACCTTTCACAGCTGCAGGAATTTCTCGCACAAGGTTTAGAAAAAGCAACATATTTGTCTGCCGACAAAACTGTTTTTTTTTTTTTTTTCACCAGCGCATGTTTCAGCAGTAGTGGAATCTGATCCTTTGTGTCGTTCACAGGTCGCACTACAGTGTGACTGCGGTCGAAGAAAGGAAACTGTAGTCTGTGCAGAAGCAGCCAATTCATATCAGAGGTCAGTGCTGCTCTCTATGTATTTAACTTTTTTGAATTCTGAATTTGTTGCAGTTGAAAAAGCCTTACATTTTTGTACTGCAGGTATGCAGCCATTGCCATGGCCAGCAAGCTCTCTGACATGCAGCTCGGGGACTCTATGGACATCGGGCCGCTCCTCAGTAAGAAGGAACTGAAACAGACGAGGTAGAGTAATGGAGGAAATGAGTGATCAAGAGTTGGGGCCAGAACTCATTTCTTTTTTGTCTATACATTGATATTTAAATAACTGAGGCACATGATTGTATTTAATGGTCTACAGCAGCTTCAAATGCAACTCAGAACTGAGGCCTGTTCATTTTTTAAGACACATCCTCGTAGAAGTTGAAATAAATGAGGTGTGAACGGCAGTCCTGTGTTTTTTTTAATGTTTCACAGGCTTGAATGTGATCAAGAATGTGCCACTTTGGAAAGAAACAGACGTTTGGCAGAGGCTTTACAGATAGACTCATCATCTGACCCCTTCAACGTTCGCTCAACCTCCGTCTACAGCGACAGCCTCAAAGAGGACGCCAGGTCTAACTGTCGACCCTTGTCTTTGTTTTCCTATATGCTCGCCATTGGGTTGACTGTAAAGATTAATTTTGTGTAGTTTGTCTTCCAATTCAGATGGACCACTGCACTGAAAATATTCTGCTTGTCTTTCAGAAAAGACCTGAAATTTGTCACAGAGGTAGAAGAGGAGATCAAGAATCTTGTTGAACTTGCCAATAAGGTACGATGAGTGTTTACATCTCTTTTTCCAGCTTGGTGTTCCCAACAGTTTGGGGTGACATGTTCGTTTTAAAGCTCTCTGAGATGTGATGCTCCCTCTGGTGGTTGTGTTGGGAGCACACGGCCGTTGGGCAACAAAAACTGGCAAAGCGTGATGTTTATGATGCTGAGCCTTTCAATACTACATCTTACCAGTTCAATATCTGCTGCTTACACCATAAAACTGTGTCATGGCAACAAGTCCATACACCATAAAACAAACTTATAATCAGAACCTGTAACACAACAAGATGCACAACAATCCAGCCATAAATTATTTATGAGTCCTAATCGCTGACAGAATTTGTATGAAGCTGTTGCACTTTCCTTCCTACTGCTGGACTTTTATGACTATTGCGGTCATTTCTCTGAATATATTCACGATTTTATCTCATTTATGCTCTTTACTGTCGGTAGGGGTTAGGCTGCAACACAAGATGATTTCAAGATATTTTAACTGTATTAACTATAAACTTTAAATTTACTCAACTTACACATGAAATGCAGGAAGTATCGAGTATTAATCAGACGAGTATCAGTTCTATTTACATACGCTGACTGTTTGCTCCTGCTGTAAACACACAAACAAGCTCATTAGAATCATAAACATTTATGACAAGTTAATCTGTTAAAGTGACGGCATTCTGTGTTTCAGACAAAAGCTACTTTAATGGTGATATTTCTCATGACTTCATTCACAGAAACACAAAAGTGACGATGAGAACCACAGTGTTTGCCCTCCCTGCAGGATTTAACAGCACAATAGGGGTCAAGGAGCTACAAATAGCAAGCTTTTCAAACTATCCAAATACATGTGAATGGCTCGAAATTAGTATTAAGCAAATCAACAACCACTCTGTTCAATTTTAACAGTAACGCACCTTGGTGAGATTTTTTTTCTTGTTCCTGCAGCACCACATTGAATCTAAACGCCTGTGTGTTTGTGGCAACATGCATTTCAGACTGGTGTTGAAAGTGATACAGAAACGCCACCAGTTATGACCTCTTAAGATTACAGCCGTGACTTTTATGGGAAAGTGACGCATGTGTTCATTCAGACTTGAAGCAGACGCGTTTCAATGTGGTCAGATTAGTAGGAAAAAAAATGTCCGACAGAGGCTTCAGTGTCAGCTCGGCCCTCTGAATCCGACTGCCCATTCTCAGCTGTGACTTTAACTTTTCGCAGCTACACCCACAGCTGACATCATCTTCATATTATTTTCTGACCCAGTTGTTGTATATTCAGCTATTTTTGAGCTCGGTCAATCCTCCAGTGGACTTCCTCCAGTGGTTGCTTGTAGATTTTTGACAGGACGAGGCAGCCTCTTTAGTAGCTGTTTCTAAGCCAGAATAAATTAGTAGGTACCTCGTGGGGCAGTCAGAAGCATAGGCTCCATTTATTTTATTTTTTTTCCGACTTTGTTCGATGCATTGAGGCTCTAAGGAAAGGGAAGCCGTCAAGGTCGTCGTAGCTTTGGTTTCTTTTGCAAATGTAAAGGACTGTTTATCGGTAGCTGAATCTCTTTATGGAGCAACGGATCATAAATCAAAGCTTTGCTGCCCTGAAGTCTGCTTATTGAAATGTTTTAACATATTTTCTCCCCGGTCTAGTATTTGCTGCATACTGTGCTGCCTTCACTGACTTTATTTTTTATCCTCGGTCCTTTTGTGTGGGCTCTTACTTTCCCAAAAACAAGGTTATTAAATCTACATCTCTATCTAAATGTTGCTGTAATGCTCTCTAACTACCTTCTGGCAAAGAAAGTGGACTTTTGTTGTTGTTTCCTCTGTGTTCTGCTATAAAAACTTAGATGTGCATCGTGACCCTTCCTGTAGAGAAAAGGTCGTGCACACACTACAAGCTCAAACATATGCAGAGACTTCCGACTTTAAACTCGTCTATAAAAGCATTGATGTGCTGCTGTAACAGCCTCCTCAGTTGTTTGTGGCTCTTTCACATGATTTTTGGGACCTGCCTGCAGGGATTTGCTCTGTTCAGCTACAGAAACATTAGTGATGTCAGCACAGATGTTGGGCAGTAAGGCCTGGCTCGCAATCGATGTTCCAGTTCATTCCAACGGTTTTGGATCAGGTGGAGGTCAGGGCTCTGTGGAAGCCACAAAACTGAGAAAAACATTTTCTTTATGGACCTGGCATGTTGGTCCAGGAGGCTCCTGTTCGAACCTGCACTATAGTCTAAAACATGATTGCATGTTGTAGCAGTGAGGTGTTGAAAGGGCCACCCATGACAAACAGCCAGTGTGAGTGGACAGGGGAGTCCATGTACTTCTACTATGATAAAGAATACACACCATATCATGATGTAGAAATAAAAAGAAGAAGGTTACCACAATATTTTTTTGATATTTACAACTTCCATATTATCCTTTAACATTGAAAAAAACAGGTTAAAGGTACAAATTTCCCTAATTAGTTTATATAAGGGCATGAATATGGATGCTATTTTTAGCCACGTAGTCATTTAATAATCAGTTAATCATTAAAACAAATACAGTGCAGTTGACGCTTTTCCGTAAGCAAGTGCGCTCAGCTCACTTGTATTAGTGAGTCAGGTACAAGAACGCTGTCCTGGTAAGAAAGTGATTGACTGCTACAGAAGTCTCCGTCGTCGTGGCCCTTTGCAAGCTAAACCCCACAATGTTGTCTACTTGCCAACACCGAGCTGCCCATAGCCCGAGCAACCAAATGCTGCAGACTTAAACACAGCAAACAAACTGCAGTCCTTCTACCTTGTTAAATAGTAAGACATAGCCAGGTACTACAGCTACTCTACTACATTCTCTGGCACAGATAGATAGATGATAAAATGGATGGATAGCACCAGTGGATTAGAAAATACATTTTAGATACAGTGTAGTGATATAAAAATAAGAAATTATGCCACTTAAAAGGCCATAAAAGAGCCACATTTTAATATACCCTCTGCTGCTTTGGTGTGTTACTGACACCCTTGATATTCTGTTAGAGTTGTATAAATTTCTACAAATTAACAATAATTGTCCAACATATAAACGTCCTTGGAGGAAACAAAGAAGGCAGCCTCTTGAAGCATGAAATGCTTCTCAGTGTTTATACTAATGGATGTCCATTACTGATCTGGTCTGCAGGGAAAACAGCCGAAGAGGAGCCACTGTTTCCCGCCCATGAACAGAGAACACCGGAAGATCATCCACGAGCTGGCCGAGGTCTACGCCGTGGAGAGCGTGAGCTACGACAGCGAGCCCAAACGCAACGTGGTCATCACGGCCCACAAGTAAGACCGTTTTCATGTGTAGTAATACATTTATCTCACATGTATGTGCTGATTGTGGCTTTGAGGATGTGCCTGTGTCTCTGGATTGTTCGTAGGGGGAAGTCAGCCTGCCCAAACTCAACCCTGACGTCTTTGATAGAGCGAGAAACGGCCGCAAGAGCTCCGCCTCCCATCGCTCATATCAAGCAGCACAGTAGCAAGTAAGTAACTCCTCTGTCTTGATTCCTACAACTGTCCGGAGAAGTGTTTAGCATCCCACTGATCTACTTCCTGCTAGTTTTTTTAGCTGCTTAGAATACGAGCAAATGTGTTTTTGTTCTTGTCTCCCTCTGCCTGCGTTTGATCAATCCTTCTTTTCGATTCTCCTCCTAGAGCTGCCAGTGGAAGCACCTGGTCGAAGATGGTTAAAGAAGAGCCTGTAATAGATTATTTTGATGTCCAGGACTAAAAGAGGAAAAACCTCAGGATCTGCTCGAAAGCCAAAAAAAAAAACTAAGTCTGAAACCTTTTTCCATTTGCGTTCATCGAAGATCAATATTAATTCCTCTGGCTTCACAAGCAAATAAAATTATGTTTGGAAATATTTCAAAGATGTCATTGCCTGCTGAGAACACCCACTCCTGGTTTATGTGAGAGGAGGAATTGAACAAATGCTGAGTCGAGTGTTTCCCATGAATTTATATATTAAAGGCGATGAAAACTTGCACAGATTCTGAAGAAGGATCATTTTTGAAAAGCTTCCTCGTGTTTTCTTTGCCCCCCTTGGATGCAGTTTAATAAAAAAGTGAATTCTTATTTAAAGGGCACACATGTTTGAATTTAATATCTTAGCTTCAGAATATTCGTTTAAAAAATCGCTCTGAACTGTGTAAGCTTTCTTCGGTTTAGGATTCTCACACAGTATGCCAAGCAGTTTCTCAGCCATGGGATGTCTTTTGTTCTTTGTGCTGGTGTTGAGCCAAAGGTTCAGTGGTAAACCTGTGCTGATTGAGGGTGTGGGTGGGTTGGAGTGGGCTGCAATGCGCCAAGAAAGCTTTGTCTCAAACACCCAGATGTGTTGCTTTCTGGAAACTCTTTCCTCGGCAGCAAGCGAAGGTGTTTTGAGGTCGGGCTTGCTCCAGGACACTACGGCAGCGGCGTACGTTTGGTCATGATCAGAGCTGGGATCCTGCTGTCCGGCTAATGGACCGTTTTAATATTCAGTCCAGCAGCCCGCGAGGTGAAGACGCTGACTCAGGTTTGAGTCACTAATGTTCTGAGTGGACACACAAGATGCGCAGTTTTCCGCTTATCCGACCAAAAGCAACAGTCCACTTTTAGATTTGGGGAGACAAACCAGTAATTATGCCTTGTTAAGATATATATTTTAACGCTGGGAAAAGAAAGTAAAGCCTCTATTTTTGCATATTTTAGAATATTTGTGACTCAGAGTGTATTATATTTTCATTGATATTATATATCTGCAACATTTGATTGAGTAATTGTCAGCTAGTAAATTAATTCTCAACTATTTTGAGTTATTTTTAAGAAAAGATGTCTAAATTCTCTCATTCCAGCTTCAGACATTTGATTATCTTCTGGTTTCTTTCCTCTTCTGTGCCAGCAAACTAATTATCTTTTGGTTGTGGATGTCATCTTGGACTTTTGGATGCGCTGATGGGAATTTTTAGCCATTTTCTGGACCACACAACTAATCCATTAATCAACAATAAGTGTCAGTTAAAGCCCCCTAGTATATTTTATATCTGCAGCATTCCTTCATGGACTTGTAGTTTTGGTTTGACGCCATTTTAGAGTAAAATTATTTTTAATCAATTATAAGCTTTTACTAGGAAGTTGTCAAAAAATCCCTTTGATGTTTTGGTAATAACAGCAGAAACTGAATCCTATGATCGTGCAAATGTGCTGATGCAGAAAGAAATCCAGTTTTCTGTAAACTAAAAGATTGCAGACATAGAGATGCAGGGCATGTGTCCCCCAAAATATCTGTAAAATGTGCATTTATTCCCCTCCGAATTGAAACAGGAAAGAATCAAAGGACTTCACAGCTATTTTGTCATTTTCTTTATATCAAAAAAGACATTTTCTTCATAAATTGATGCAGACAAGGAACAATTTGGTGCATTAAAAATCTCCAGAATGCAAGAAATGACCTACACTATAATGCTCAAACATATCTACATGAAAAAAAAGACATATGAGGCTGTTACACCAAATGTGTATTTGGTTATTAAATGAATTTTGGTTGAGATCTTTTCCCTTATTCCAGGCAGATTTGTCAGTCTGGCAACAAGAAAAGTGTGCATTAATAGCTCCCAACTGCCACTTAAAGCTTAAGTAAATTGTCCATTAAAATGGCAATTATCCACAACTTATAAACCCATTATGACGGGTTCCTTATTAGAAAGTGGTTCAGTTCTTTTGGTTAGGGAGCAGGTGGAGCTGCTCCTTTGTTGCTCTCTTTGTTCTTTGGCAGCATTTATATTTACAACATGTGGGCAACACCTCACTCTGCTTTGGAAAAATAAAAAAAAATCAAATAAATCATCCATCGACCAGCAGCCAGCTTCTCCCCCCTCCTCTGTCCAAAAAAAATAAAAAATAAAATAAAAAAAATAAAACCGCTCATGAGGATAATTTGATGACACTCCCTGCCACTGGTAATTTTTCATTATATCGACTCTCCAGCAGAGACCGCGCCTGCGCTCCTGCTCCCTTCCGAACAAGGCTTCACCAATCCTGGCTCTGGCTCCATCCCCGGCTCGGCGTCCCACAGGCCAGCGCTAATAAGTCGCCTAGCTGTCCAGTAATGGGGAAGTGATAGGAGAGACGCCGCTGTGTTGAAAAGCCGTGAGGAAGTTGAGGAGGGGGGAAGCAGCTCCACGCCGCGCCGCGCCGGACCGGACAGCTCCACGGAGACACATCCTACAGTTGCTGTTGTTGAGTAGCCTAAAAAAAAAAAAAAAAAAAAAGAGAGAGAGAGAGAGAGGAAAAAAAAAAAAAGAGCGCATAGTGATGGAGAGAAAGGTATGGATGCTTCTGCTACCTTGTGATACATTAGCAACGTTTTGTGTTTTATCCCCACATCACTGCTCAGGATTCCGCATCCACCATTAAAAAAAAACTAGTCTTTTCTCTATTTTCTTTATCCTGTGGGCGCGCTGCCAGCCGGATTAGTGCGCACCGGAGTTTTTTCCTCGTCTCGCTGTAATTTATTGTGCGTCTAAAAAAAAAAAAAAAAAA